TATCTCAAATTTTGATATCACTGAAAAGATTAGCAACATAGGAAAAGAGGTCATGTTGGAGAGTATGGCTATTTTGCTTATATTAAGATTTTTTAATGTTACATCTGGAGATTTAAGCAAATGTAAATGTTAATTATAAAACATCTATCACTAATTACAGGGAATGTGTCTTAGAGAGTCCTGTGCATAAATGTATTAATTAGTCTCTTAAAACTGATTACTGCTTTCCATTTGCAGCCTCCCATAGAGCAAAGAAATTTGTCATAATGAAGAGTTATTACAAAAATTCACATTATGCAAATTGCCTTTGGAAATATTCTGAAACACAAACCTCCCAAAAACTTTGAGAAGATATTTTATCCACATGTTATATGTAAGAAAACTGACTTAAGGAGCAATTGTGTTACTAAACCAAAGAATTAAAAGGAATAAACAGCAAAGAAATATGCCATTCAGCACATAATCCTGGCAAATGATTATCACCTCAACTGTCCTTGAAGAGTTACCAGAATGAGATGACTGTTTCCCAGGACAACTGAACTATTACCATATATCTCATAATCTCTCAGCATCTTACTGTGAATAGGTCCCTATATCCCTTTAAGAACTGAAATAGACCATACTCATTATTGCATTAATCCCTAAACACATTTATGAGTTCCTCTGCAGCGGCTTTACTGATCTCATTCCTCGTTTTCCTGCTTTGAGTTACATCTTCTGTACAGATCCCAGAAATCCAGAAATACTGACGCTAACAGTAGGTAGATGCTTCAAAGCTCACCTTGAAAGTAACATACTCCTTCCTAACTCTACAATAGAATCGAGCATAATTTTTCTGACTTTTCGGGTAACATTATTCTTATTCATGTTGCCCTGACCCAACCTTCAATTATTTTTTATTACAGAATCATTAAATTACAAAGTAAAAGTGAATGATGTGAATGAATTAATTAAGCCCAAGTTTTGAATGCACTCAGAGTTTTTAGTAACCAGGGTTACTAGTTTTTTAGTTAGAGTTTTCTAGTAACCAAAGATGTAAATTGTTCAACGACTTCAGGATAGAAATGCCTACAAGGCAGCCTATTCCATTTTCATAGAATTCTAGACTTTAGAAAATGTTTTTTGGTTTTTTTTGTTTGTTTGTTTTATTTTTGAGACAAGATCTTACTCTGTCACTCAGGCTGGTGTGCAATGATGCAATCATGGCTCACTACAGCGTCAACCTCCCAGGCTCAAGCAGTCCTCCCACCTCAGCCTCCTGAATAGCTGGGACTACAGGTGTGCACCACCATGCCTGGCTAATCTTTGCATTTTTTTTCACAGAAAGAAACAATTTATCTTGTAAAGTTTATCTGTCTTTAAATTCTACACATTGGATCTAGCGGTCTTCAGTGGAAAAACAAAGCAGAATCACCCTAATTTTGTGTCACACACACACACACACACACAAACAAGAAGTCTTTGAAAAACGCCACACTACATAAATGTAAAGCAAGCATGAAACAGAGTACAGAGATAAACTCAGGTACACATAATAACAGAGGATAGAGGTGGCACCACCAACCAATGACAAAGGGTTTAGTAGGTGGTGCTAGAGAAATGGGCTCAGTGAAAAGGTTGCTGGAGCACCACATTACATGTGACTAATGATATAGTCTAATATATATTAGGTATATGTTAGGTATATTCGACTAATGATCTAAGTGTGAAATGTAAAACTTTAAAAACAATAAATGAAAATTTAGTATGTTTTTGACATAAAAATAAGGTAGATCTTCTCATAAAATAACAAAAAATCATAGATTTAAAATGTTTGTTCAATTATGCACAATATGAGCAAAAATAAATGACAGTTGTGAAGATACTTGCAGTGTCTAAAAATGACAAGGGAATTTATCAAGCATATACAATGAACTCCTACAAATCAATAAGAAAAAGACAAAAACCTCAATGGAAAAATGGGCAAAGGAAATAAAAGAGAAATCATGAAAGTTAACACATGTTGGAAGAAATGAAAATGTTCAAACCCATTAGTAATCAGAGACATGCAAGTTAAAACAGCCGGATAAGATCACTTTTTACTTACCAAAAAAATTAAAAAGTGATGTAAAGCAATATTGGTACATATTTGAAGACATATAAAATGCAATTTGGCAGTTTGGACTGGTGCAGACATCCTGGAGACTAATCTGACAATACTTAGTAAAATAAAACATAAACACGTCATTTGTCTCAGTAATTCACATTTGGATTGATTCTCATAGTAGTCCATGGGGGACAAGTTGATTGCACCAGTCATGTGCTGAAGAGGCTGCGGTGATTAAGTGTGCATCACTGAAACACTGAATGGACAAAATCTTGTATATGAACCACATAGAGTACCAACGAACAATTAGAATAATAGTTTAAATCTATACATAATAGCATTAATAAGTCTTTCAACACAAATAGTGCTGAGGGAAAAAAAGTTTTCCAAAGATACAACACCACTTACATAGACTTAAAATATATAATAAAAGGACCAACTTTCTTGGGACTTTGAAAACATGAATAGGGATGCTTGCATATGAGATAAAATGCAGTATGGCTGTAAATGATAGATGAGAGTGGAAATCAAAAAGATATAGAAGCAAATAAATAAATTATTATGGTAGCAAAATATTAAAACACATAAAGACCCATGTGTGGACAAACAATAGCACTGTATGAATAGGGGATTATATTAATCCTCTACATTATAAGGAAAAAAAAATTGGTAAAGACATCAACTGTGTACCTGCTCTAACTAAAGTTGATGTAAGGACATATATTAATTTACCTAAGATTTTGCTTGTTCAGCTTTTTGTGCTTTCTTAGTTTATTCCGTTTTTTTCCCCTCAGAGTGTAAAGTTAGTTTGTTTATTTAAGATCTGTCTTCTTTGTCACTGTGAGCATTTATTGTTATAAAGTTTCCTCTTAGATCTGCCGTTGCTGCATCCCAAAGTTTTGATATGTTGTGCTTTTGTTTTCATTTGTTTCAAACCTTAAGTTTTCCTTTCTTTTTTCTTTCTTGACCCATTTATTGTTTATGATTATGTTATTTAGTTTTCATATGTTTCTACATTTTCCAAAATTCCTTCCATCATTGATTTGTTGATTCAAGCAATTTGGTTGGAAACGATACTTAATATAATCACAATCTTCTTAAATATGTTAAGACTTGTTTTGAAACACATTTCAAAACAAAAAAATAAACTTCTTAAGTATGTTAATACTTTGAAGCATTTTCCTGTGTTTTGAGAAGAATTGTATTCTGCTGTTGTTGAATGAAATGTCCTATATATGCCTATTAAGTCCATTTGCTGTAAACTATAGTTCAGATCTAATGGTTACTTACCTATTTTCTGTCTGAATAATCTGTTCCTTGATGAAAGTGAGGCATCAAAGTCCTTTACTATTATTGTATTATAAATCTCTAAGTATATAAATATTTGCTTTACATTTTTAGGTGAAATAAATCATTCAATACAAATTGTGCTGAAAGAAAAGGGGTTTTAAAAAGATATACAATAATATAATTTAAATAGATATAAAATATATAGTAAAATGGCCAACTTTTGTGGGATATCGACAAGATGAAATGGGGTATTTGCATATAAAATAACAAATTACAAGTTGACTCTAAATGAGAGATGGGTGTAAGAATAGAAATAAAAGAGAAACAAGAGAGAATAAATAAATTACTATGTTAGACGGAAAAGGAAAAGAGCCATGTGTGGACAAACAGTAATATCATATAAATAAGAGACTATTTTGAGTTCAGATGTCTACACTTGATGAAAAAAATAGTAAAGTCATAAATTGCACCCCTGCCCAAATTCAAGTTGCTGTAAGAACATATGGCCATTTATCTGAGATTTTGCTTTCTCAGTCATTGGTCCTTTTCTCTTTTTGCCCAAGACCTACAAACTTTGGATACACACAGTTGACTGACTAGCAGAACTGCTAACCACAAACTTTTTGTTTTTTACAGACCTTCAGCTAAGAGTGATCTCAGTACACATGTGTCCAAACAAGAAAGAGCATCCCCTCCCAAATAAAAGAACAAAGTTTTAAAAGAACTGGTGCTCTTTATCATTTGTCCTTACTTGTGCAGAATGATGGTCATACACAGCAATCACTTTAAAACAATGAGTGTGAAAGTCACATAGCAAGAGTGAGGAACGGGAAGTTAAAAGAGCCCTGATCCTTCTCACCGTCTTGAGCACTTGTAGTAACCTTAGTTGCTTAGTCCCAGATTTCTTATTTTACATATTCAAAAGCTATTAACATTAAATTAATAGTGTTGCCTCTTAATTACCTTGACTTAAGCTCAACCAAGACAGTCATTGCTGGACTAGTACATTAACCTCATAAGTAGATCCCCAGGCTCATTCTTGGCTCTATTCTAATTCTTTTTCATGTATGTTTTAAAATTTTGAGCTTAATATTTGTGATCTTGTTTAAATAAAAATGTAAAGAATTAACATACGAAGAATTAAGAAACATGTAAAACATCGGTATTAGGATTCAACAAACAAAATAACATTTTCTTATTTTAAGTTATAGTCACACAACTTTTGAGGAAGCTACAAACCCTCAAATTAAGGAGAACAGACTTCTTAGTGAGTAAAGCCTTTTATTAAGAAAATTCTATTTTTGTTCCATTTTAGTATGCTCCAATTATATACTCCTCTTATGTTTCTGCAAATAGTCATGGCACAAAAATGAAGAAAAAGATGTAAGAGTTTTACACTAGAAAATTAATTACACTAGAAAATTAATCAGAATAAAATCTCCTTTCTTCAGTTATGTCATGAAACTACTCAGTCTCCATCCACTGCAAACAGCTTCTCTTATATGTATTCAGATAGTCAAGGGACCACAGTCAATCTTTACTTAGATGTGAAGATAGGAGAGATTGCAATTGGACTTAATCTTGGAGAGGTCATTGCAAAAGCAACGATGATCTGTATTGATGATTAGCAGCAAGAGGAATAGCATCTTCTGTAGCAAAATGGTTGGTAGCCACAGAAGCCAGAGCTGTATCTACAGCCGTAGCAAGAGCCTAATCCATATGCAGACTCGTATCTACAGCCATAGCCACAGCCAGAGCCGTATCCACAGCCATAGCCACAGCCAGAGCCGTATCCACAGCCATAGCCACAGCCTGTTCCATAGCCAGAGCCATATCGGCAGCCATAGCCACAGCCAGAGCGGTATCCACAGCCATAACCAGAGCCACAGCCAGAACCCCAGCCAGAGCTGTATCCACAGCCCCCACAGGAGTTTCTGTAGTAGTTGCAACACATGGTGTCAGGAGGTGAGATTTCAGTGAAGCTGTAGGAGGATGTCTCTGAAGTGTGAGTGTCTTCTACTCTTCCAAGATCTTTATATACATCCAGGAATGCATGGGTCATCCTCACATGGGCTCTATTTGCCCTTTTTGTAATCATCTGCCTAAAATGAACACATTCTGTGTACGTCTACTTTCTCTGGAATTCATAATTTGCTTATAGCTTCCCTGGGAATATTTTTATGCCTGAAAGGAAAACAAACATACAAGTTTTAAACACACACACTCATACAACCATAATTTTATTTTCCATAGTTTCACGTCATGGCCATGACATTACACGACACCAAAATATGTTTGGCCTATAAATGTACGTTCATCATTCTGCTCTTGTAAGGTCTTGGAAATCATCTATTAAATACGGAGTTCTACTCAATGCTCTTAATACCATTATCATCATTATCATCATCATTTCCTCTTATTCTTTCCTAATACCATGTGTTCTTTCTTTTATGATAGTTACTGAAATGTACTAATCATGGTTTTTGGACAAGGAATTGAGTATTTCTGCATGCTACCTCTGCACCTTGAAACCCTCTTCTTCTCTCTGAAGAAAAGTTTGACCATTCCTCCCTTTTCTAGGTAGTCTATGACCTTCTCTTCTTTCCTTGAAGGAAAAATTTTTGTTAAACTTCTGACAGGTCAGTTATGTAAGATGTATCATCTAAAATTTATAGTACAAACTTTTGAGTTTCCATTTAAAGTGAGGGAATTTCCGTGGTTCACAACTTCTTTGTTGTTGATGTCCAATTGTTAAATTCAGTTCTTAAACTCGGGTTTGTTTATGTTTAAGAATCGAATTTAATAATTGGATGTCAACAACAATTGGACTACCCTGATGTTTGTGCTGTACATCAGTGCTTTCTACTAAAATGTAATCAATCACTTAAGTCATACACCAGACAAGTGGAGTGGGTGGGGAACGGGGGTTGTTGATCAAAGGGTACCAAATTTCAGTTAGGTAAGAGGAATTAACTTTAGTGATTTATTATACAAAACGGTGACTATAATAGAGAGTAATACATTGTTTATCTCAAAATTACTAAAAGAACAGATTTTAAACATTACCACAAAAATGATAAGTATGCAAGGTCGTCACCTTTTTTAATTAGCTTAATTAAATTATTCACAGTGGTTTCCTGATTTTAGAATCTATTTTCTTTTACAAACAAAATATCAATATTTACTCATAATATTTTTGTTGTATTTCTTACATTATGACATTAACAATAGTTGGCCTTTCTGTGCATTTTCCTATTCATTCTTACTCTTTGCTTGATATCTTTATTACCTTCATTGGGGAGATAGTTTCATAGGGATATGCATATGTTCAAACTCAAGAAATTATATCCATTAAATAAGTACAGTTTTACATCAATTATATATTAAAACTCATAAAATAAATACATAAAATAAAGATGATGATTAAATAGATAAATATTGTCTGCATTCACTGGGAAACAAGAGGCAACCCTCTGGAGCACATGGTAAGCAACTAATGCACATCTGGAGATATGGGCTTGCAGAGGGCCTGAGAAGCCCTGGGCTGCGGGCAGACTATGGAAAATAGCAGTGATGGGTAGCCTATGTAGAGAATCTGAGTGTGTGGGTAGGAGCCCTGCAGGGACTCATGAGTAAACTGTCTTCAAGGTGCTAGTTTTCATGTAAACAGGGTCACATAAAGATTACTGCCAGGCTGAAGCTCAAGGTCCTCAAGGATCCAGCATATTCTGGACCTAAGAGTGTGGTGGAGCCTCAGCAGATATCCTTAACTCACACTGCTAATACCTTCTAATCCCCTCCTGTGCCACACTCGAGAATGCAGGAGCCCTGCTTCCTCCTGTAATGTCCCAGCTGCATCCTCTCCTGAGAAAGCTTGAAGCATGCTCACAGTGGAGAAATACTTTTTAAAAATTCCATCTATCAGCACGGAGCACGTACTGAAGAATGAATTTGATGCTGAGGGTCCATAAATTGGTAACAATTATAGTCTCTCCTCCACATTCCAGAAGCTCTGTAGTAGAAATAGCTTTCCCTAGAAAACAAATTGATTAATTTCCTCACTGATCCATTTACTAATTATATATCCATGAAAACATCATCAACCTATATGAACCTCAGTTGCTGCAACTACCACATGGAATTAAAAATAACCATATGTATTTTAAAACTTTGCCCAGGCATATATAAAATATAAAGGATGTAGCAGGGATCCTGGTATATAATGGAGACAATACTTTCTCTTTTTTTTTTTTCCATTTCCTTTATCCAAATATAAACATTACCAAATAATAACTTTTCAAATTTCTGCATGTACTTACATTTACACCTTTTTTATACTAAAATTTTAAGATTTACTTTCACATTGCTATGGTTTATAGTTATATGTGGCATATATGTTGTATATACATGCATATATTCATTTGCTTTGCTGTATTCATGAGTTCTACAATCATGATTTGATAAACTATAGATTCGATAAACTATAGATTAGAATTATTTGGTTAAAAAAATAAAAGTCAACAATAAAAATAAAATCAATACAACTATTTACATAACATTAACATTGTGTTCAGTATCATAAGTAGGCATCTTTTTCTTATTCTTGATCTTACAGGAAAAGATTTTTACTGTTGAGTGTTATGCTCACTGTGGGCTTACTGAATATGGCCTCCATTGTGTTGAGGTACTTTCCTTCTACATCTAAATTTTTGAGATTTTTTAACTACAAGAGGATGTTAAACATTTTTTAATGCTTTTTCTGCATCATTCAGATGATTATACGGTTTTTGTTCCTTACTCCATTAAAATGGTATATCATGTTTATTGATTTGAGTATGTTCAGGATCATTGCATTTCAGAAATAAATTACCATGATGAATGAGTCTTTTAATGTGCTGTTTATTTCAGTTTGCTCATGTTCTGTTAAGAATTGTAGCACCTGGGGGCTAGGATCCAAGATGGCCATTTAGGAACAGCTCAGGATTGCAGCTCCCAGTGAAAGTGCAGAGGCTGCTGCAGGTGATCCCCAGGCAAGCAGGGCCTGGAGTGGACCTCAGCAGACCTACAGCAGAGGGGCCAGACTGTTAGAAGGAAAACCAAGAAACAGAAATAACTTCATCATCAACAAACGTCCACTCAGAGACCCAATCTGAAAGCCAGCAACTACAAAGTCGACAGGTGGATAAATCCATAAA